CTGGCCCTCGGGGACCGGGTGTCGGGAGAGGACGCAGGCGAGTGCGGGGGAGGCGGCGGGAACCCCGGAGCGCCATTGGGCCCCCACCCAGTGGAGCCCCGGGAACGGGGGCTCCGAGTTGATGCTGCTAAACTCCGAAATGTCGGCGCTTCTTTAAGGGTCCCAGCCGCCACTTGGTGTGTGGCCTGGAGAGTCACCACGCCTCTGACCAAGGTTCCCCTCGCGGTGTCCGGTGGGGGAGTCACCCATCTCAGGGTTGTGGGGCATCCATGTACAGTCGGGGAGAGAAATGTAATGAATGCGCTAGGGATGTTTGGGGTGGAGATATTTATTTAGCGCCTACTCTCTGCCAAGCACGGCGTTTGGCATCCAGCCTCTCTCTGGCCCTCAATTTCCATTTATGACGAATGGGGATAAAGCTATTGTCACCTGTTGGGAGGCGTGAGGTCATGGCCCATGGTGTATGTCGACCCCGGCCCCGGCCTATTGATGTGACTGGTCATGTGCTCATGCAGAACAGAACCCCTCTCCTGACGGGCAGCGGAGCAGTCAGCTCCTGGCACGGCAATGGCAGGATTTCTGGAAGAAGTCCCGGAACACCCTGGTGCCCCAGCGGCTGCTCTTCGAGGTGACCAGTGCCAACGTGGTCAAGGATCCCCCTTCCAAGTACGTGGTGAGTGCGGGTCCAGGAACCCCTGGTTGTGAGTCTACAAGTCGAAGACAAAGTAGGGAAGATTCCAACTTCCTGGCTGTGTAGTTGTAAATGGCTGCCCCCATTTTACAGATGGAGAAACTGAGGGCAGAATGGGGATGTAACTTGAGCAAGTCCTCAGGCAAATGACAGCTTCTTTGAGACTGAGTAAAAAAGGATTGTGGGCCTGTCTCCTCTCCTGGTTTTGAAAATAAGAGAACTGGTGTGTGTGCCCCTACGCACACCCCCCGCCCCCCCAAGGTTTTGCAAAATGTAGCAAGATGCAAGGTACAGAGGAAAGAATATTATCTGGATCAGGTTTGAGACCCAAGGTGCATTGGTTAGTGTTTGTTGTTGTTGTTTTTTTAATGGGTTTTGGATGCAGAACTTGATTTAAATCCCAGTTGTTTGACCTTGGGTGAGTTGTGTAACCTTGATGACCTTTTCCTCATCTATGGGAATAATGCTGAGAACAGTCACAGGAATTAAATGGGACAGTGCACAGAAAGCCCTTAGCCCTGTGCCTGGCATTATGAAGTGCTCAAAGAAAATGTATAATAAAATAAAAAATTAGCTCCCTTATTATTACTTACCTTTGGATTGAAAATGCCTGGCATCTCGGGCCTGTTGTGGCCTCCTTACAACCCAGGTCAGTCAGTTCTCAAGCACCCATCCTGTATAGAATAATCTTGTTGTAAGGGCTCCATTTAGGGGGGGTTAGTGAAGAGCAATGTGGGGGAGAATCTGGAGTCCCTGTTTCTTCTCTGTGGAAAGGAGAAACTGACATAGAAAGTGAGGTCTGCCAGGTCTTCTCTCGGCCAGCCTGAAACCCAGGCTGACCTGGCTGCTCCTGGCGGCAGCAGCTCCCTTCCTCTCACTTCCCTCCTCCTCACCACCCTCCTCCATTTCTGACTCAGCAGGAAGGGGGCCTGGAGCCCTGTCCCACATCTGGACCTCTCCACCCCTCCCTGCTGCTATTAGTAAACAAGGGCCACACCCACGGGGTGACTGCCTCGATTTGAGCAGGGATTGATAATCAAGTCTTAAGTGGCAAAAGTCCTGGCCAGGCATCATGCATAGGAAGGGGACCCCAAGGATCAATTATCAAGGAGCAGCTACGAAACAAGGCAGTATGGGGGTGACTCTGGGAGGAGAATGACAAGATAGAGCAGGATGGCCAAGTATGCCCTGCCCAGTGTCTGGGGAAACAAAGCACCTCCTTTGTCCAGAGGGGACCCTAAATTCTGACTGAACTTCTCCTGGGGGGTTAGAGCACAGGCTTTGGAGTTAGGTCAGCCTGGTTTTAAATCCCAGCTGGGCCATTTCCCAGCTGTGTGACTTAGGGGATGTCTTTTTATGTTTTATTTTTTAAAAATATATTTGTAGCCCTAACTGGTTTGGCTCAGTGGATAGAGCGTCAGCCTGTGGACTGAAAGGTCCCGGGTTTGATTCCGGTCAAGGGCATGTACCTTGGTTGCGGGCACATCTCCAGTGGGAGGTGTGCAGGAGGCAGCTGATCGGTGTTTCTCTCTCATCAATGTTTCTGGCTCTCTATCCCTCTCCTTTCCTCTCTGTGGAAAATCAATAAAATATATATATTTTAAAATATACTTGTATTGATTTCAGAGAGTAAGGGAGAGGGAGAGACAGAAACATCGATGAGAATCACTGATCAGCTGCCTCCTACACGTTCTCAACCAGGGATTGAGCCCAAAACTTGGGCATGTGCCCCAACCAGGAATCAAACTGTGACCTCTTGGTTTGTAGGTCCATGCACAACGCAGATGAGATAATGGATATAAAATGGTTTGGTGCCAAAAATAAAAATCAAAGCCAAAGTAACATAAGGGATCATTATAGACCAGTTCCTACGGAAGTGTGTTCTACAGAAAATGGGTTTCCTTCCCTAGCCGTTTGGCTCAGTGGATAGAGCAGGCTGAAGGGTCCCAGGTTCCATTCTGGTCAAGGGCACATACCTCGGTTGCAGGCTCCACATCCCTGCACCTGGTTTCTGTCTCTCCATCTCTCCCCCACCCTTCCACTATCTCTAAAAATCAATGGAAAAATATCCTCGGGTAACGATTAACAAAAAAAAGAAAACAAGTTTCCTGGAATGTTAATAACTATTCCTTAAAAGAAAGATTTTGCAGTCATTATGTTTTGGGAATGCAGAGTTGAAGAGTAAAATAAAATTTCTTTACTGTTTGACTTTTTAATCCTTAATATTAAAGTATACTGTGAATCTTTGAGAAAAGGATAGAATAGGCAAACCTAATTGACCAGAGGTGGCTATAATACTGGTAGTTTCACAGAACAAATTCGAGAAAAACATCTGGGTTTGTTGTTAGTATGCCTTTAACATACTAAAGGAGGTTCCCTAATCCCCTTTTTAAACCTGTTGGCTTAGCATTCTTATAGACCATGTTTGGGTTCTTAGGCCTGGGGGAAGTCTCATGGTGATCTCCTTCAGTGTTCTTCCCCAAACCTCGATTCCAGTACCACCTTCACAATTCTTGTCCCATCTGAATGCTGCTTGTACCAGTCTCTGTTTAACATTTTTATTTAAATAAATCTTTTTCTTAAGTAAGTTTAAAAGACAACTTTATAGCATACTGTATGTGGAAAGCTTCACTTGCCATAAAGAGAAGATACCCGTAAAAATAAAAGCAGTGAAAAAGTCATTAAGCCCTGCCTGGATGCTGTTGCCCGAAGGCCCTGACCCAAGATCCATTTCCTGGTTCTTTTCTGAAAATGGAGCTGAGACGTGTGAAGTGCTCAATTTGCAGTCAGAAAGAGCCAAAGAGGACTAGGGGGGAATCACCTCCTGCCTGTGATTCAGTGTTATTTACTCCAGCACATCCTCCTAAAAATCTCAGGACTAACATTTGTACACATCCCACACCTGAGTAAACACTGACCTGGGCCAACACGTCATTCACTAGAGAAGGAACTGACTGGAGGGGGACTGCCTTGGCTGACGTCACTCACAGTGAGGAGTGGCTGGCCTGGGGTTAGAACGTGAGTCTGAGCCCAGTGTACTTCTCACGTGGTCATTCCTGGGGTGTCGAAGACCTGTCTTCCAGGTCTGGGTTGAAATAACCTGTAGGGATGTGGGAGCTGTGTCAAGAGTAGAACAAAGTTCCTAAACGTTGGCTCAGAGGCTGAGATTGGCCTGGGTTTCCACGAACCCCTGGTTTTCCGGAGGGGCTGTCAGAAGAGCTCACTGCCCTAATGGGAAGGGGGTACTTTCTGGAAGGGGCAAAAGGGCAGCAGCTCCAGGCACTGAAGTTCATCTTTGTCTTTCTCTCCCCGTGCTGCCTTGGGCCTGGGTCATTTCAGACGAGCCTCAGGTAAGATGGACTGGGCTCCCTAGCTGCTGCCCCAGCAGCTCCCACCTTCCTGGGCCCAGTCTTAGGGGTAAAGGGAAGAGGGGGGGCAACAGAGCTGGAAGTGTGGGTATGGGGAAGGAAGGGGTCCCTGGACAATTTGCACCTGCCCTGACCCCCACCCTCCCTGCAGCTCTACACCCTCGCCGTGATGGGCCCAGGGCCACCAGATCACCAGCCAGCCCACATCTCTCGCCGTTACTCAGACTTTGAGCGGTTGCACCGAAACCTGCAGCGGCAGTTCCGGGGCCCTATGGCTGCCATCTCCTTCCCCCGTAAGCGCCTGCGCCGGAATTTCACTGCAGAGACCATTGCCCGCCGCAGCCGGGCCTTTGAGCAGTTTTTGAGCCACCTGCAGGCAGTCCCCGAGCTGCGCCATGCCCCAGACCTACAGGACTTCTTCGTGCTGCCGGAGCTGCGGAGGGCACAGAGCCTCACCTGCACTGGCCTCTACCGTGAGGCTCTGGCGCTCTGGGCCAATGCCTGGCAGCTTCAGGCCCAGCTGGGCACCCTCTCCAGCCCAGATCGCCCTCTGCTGACCCTGGCTGGGCTGGCTGTGTGCCACCAGGAGATGGAGGACCCTGGGGAGGCCCGGGCATGCTGTGAGAGGGCCCTTCAGCTGCTGGGGGACAAGAGCCCCCATCCTTTGTTAGCACCCTTTCTGGAGGCCCATGTCCGGCTCTCCTGGCGCCTGGGCCTGGATAAACGCCAATCAGAGGCGCGGCTCCAGGTCCTGCAGGAGGCAGGCCTGACCCCCACGCCACCCCCCAGTCTCAAAGAATTGCTCATCAAGGAGGTACTGGACTAATCTTGCCTAGACTTAAGGTTACCCTGGGGAGAGGCACTGCCCCAGGATGGCAGCGGTGGGGGACCGATGAGGGATGAGGACCTGAACAGCAGCTGGGAGGCTGTAGGGGGTGCTGGGAACCCCTAGGAGTAACACAAAGAATTTGTAGCAGACTGAGGAAACGTGGCTCTTCTGCTGGGCTGGGCCCAGGAAAAGCTTTGGCTGGGGATGCCTGGGACCTGGGATGGTGCAGGGAGGAAGTCTGATGCGCTCTCTTCAGCAAATGCACAGCTGGGGGCTGTGCCCCAGGCCAGGGTCAGTGTTCCCTTTTCCTTGGGCCTCCAAGCCAGTGAAGGAGCCAAGTAAGGGCCAGGACTCTGGAGTCTTGGAGTTGATGGCTGGAGGGAGGGCTGCAGTTCTGGCCCAGGGAATAAAGGCCAGCAGGTCCAGTGGTAGCAGTCTCTTTATTGGGTGAGGGACAAAGCCCAGCCCTCAACTGTAATTCCTGCCTCGCCTCAGGAGTAGGGGGAGAAGGGAGATCCTTGAAGCCCCAGGCCAAGCTGGTACCTCTGGCTACAGCTTGCTCTCTGTGACCGGGGGCTTCACTCGGATCACGCCCTCCTGGGCACAGGATACAGCCAGCACCCCGTCCCGACGCCACAGCTGCCCATGGACCAGCCCCCGGGAGCCACCTGCGGGTGAGAAGGGTAAGAACAGCCTTCTCTCTCCTTTAGCACAGCCAAGCGGGCTTCTTAAGAAGGGTGCAGTCCAGGTTGGGCTCCCCACACAAGGGCACACTGCGTATTGTGCCCCTTTATGAGCCTAACGTGTTCAGTCATCATGGGGTAGCCATGGGAACCCCACAGAACAGTTTAAAAGCACTTTACATGTCCTCGGGCTTCCTCACAATCACAGAGGGGGAGTTCTGAGAACAGTCTCCGTCAGTAGCTTGGCTAAGCAGATCTACCGACCTCTGGCCACTTGTGTTAGGAAACCCATCAGTTCCCTTTATAACAAATCAACCAGTCCCTCCAGGCTGGTATTATATGAAAAGCACCCCCAACCCCGAGGGGACAAAGGAGCTCAAGGGAGAGGACCTGGGGCCATGAAGTCTGGCCACCCCTTCCTCCGCACCTGCAGATTTCCTCTCCCTTGTCAGCCTCGGGCCTGAGTTGGTGTTTATGAAGGGAGCTGCCGGGCCCCTTCCATGTAGTACAGCTCACTTAGTCCTCACAACAGCCGAGTGAAGAAGGGTTTGTCCCCTTTTCTGGATGATGAGCTTAAAATTCAGAGAGGCTCAGGAACTTGGCCCTAAGAATCAGGCCAAAACCAAGTATCCTAACTTCAAGGTTGTTGACCCTGTATTGTGATGCTATTGGTACTTTTTGTTTGTTGGTTAGTTTGCTTGTTTTGTTTATTTTTGATGCTATTGGTACTTAAGAGTCCCCCTTCCCTGAGGATATTGTCTCTGTTTTACAAAACAGTTTTCATTTGAAAAGTACTTCTTTGGAAAGGAATCCAGGGCCCTGGCAGCAGACATTGATGAACGAGCCTGGGATTCTCTATGTCTCTGATGAGGAGTGTCCCAGCAGAGGTTGCTTTAGAAACGGTAGAGTGCCCTGAGCCAACCAGGTTAATCGGCAGAATCACTTAGGGAGCTTCTTAAAAATATAGTTTCCTGGACCTCTTCTAAGACCTGCAGAGTCAGAATCTTAGAATCTGAAAATCGATTTTTAAAAAGCTCCCTGAAGTGGCCACCAGGTTTGGCTACTCCTCTAATACAACTCTGTTTATTTAAATGGGGAAACTGCCCTGACCGGTTTGGCTCAGTGGATAGAGTGTCGGCCTGCAGACTCAAGGGTCCCAGGTTCGATTCTGATCAAGGGCATGTACCTTGGTTGCGGGCACATCCCCAGTAGGGAGTGTGCAGGAGGCAGCTGATTGATGTTTCTCTCTCATCGATGTTTCTAACTCTCTATTCCTCTCTGTAAAAAATCAATAAAATATATTTTTAAAAAAATAAATAAATGGGGAAACTGAGGCTCGGGGAGGAGATAGGACTTGTCCGAGATCAGACAGAGATTCTGAAGTGATTCTGGGACTAGAACTGGGGTCTCTGAGATAAAGTAGACCATATTCCCAGCAGTTACAGAAATTAAGAGCTGATTATGTGTCCCGTCCTCCAGCCTCACCCTGTTATTTTGAAGATAAGGATGACAAAGCCTAGGGGGGCAGGAGAGAAAGTGACCTGTGCAGTGCCCCATAGAATGTGGGTGGGGAACAGCATGACCCAAGAAAGCAGGCTCCCTGCCACCCCAAGGCCAGTGCCCTTGTCCCCTGTGGCCCCACACTCACCAGCCCAGGGGCTCTCGCACTCATAGAGCATCCAGTGGTCAGCTCGGAAGGGGGCGTGGAACCACATGGAATGGTCCAAAGAGACCATGAAGTGCACCTTATGCTGACAGTGGTGGGGCAGCAGTGCTGTGCTCAGGAAGGCGTAGTCCGAGATGTAGGCAGCCACGCAGCAGTGCATCTTGATGTCGCCCTCCCCTGCAATAGGTCCCGGTCCCATCAGCCCTGGGCTCCTGGCCTCTACAGCTCAGGACCTGCAGGGAGGTGGGGGAGACAGGGGCTGCCGTGCACAGCTATGCAGACTGTTCACTGCACGAGGGCACCTGGCCCAAAGGGTATGTGATGGGGGAGAGGGAGGCAGGGATGGAGCCCTCACTCCCCAAATCTCCCACACAGGCACCTTAAGATTAGCAGTGTGCCTGCCTTCCCCAGAAAGGGCCTACATTAGGATTACAGTCACCTCCCATTCTCCCCATGCAAAGGCCTAGTAGGGCCCCAGTGAGAAGATGAGCCAAATTCCCCATCATGGGGATGAGGAATAGGCCCAGAGAGGGGAAGTAACATGCCCAAGGCCACACGGAGCACATAATATGCAGGCCTAGACCCCTGGGGAGTGTTCTCTTCCAGTCCAGGAGGTCCTCTTACCAATATAGCCCTTGGCTCGCACCCAGAACATCTGTTTGGGCTCCATGTTCTGCAGCTGGCTCAGGCTGGATGGGTTTACTAGCTTGATCTCAATGGGCACATCCTGGGCAGCAATCCGGTTCAGGCCCACTCGGTACTTCTCTTGGAGGTTAGGGTCCCTGAAAATAAAGGGTTGAGGGACTTGAGGAGACCCAAAGGGAGGGGAAGCTTATCTTCGGAACTGTTTATTCTGACTCCCCTCCTTCCTCCAGAAGGAGTCCAGACTTAGCCTGAAAGTCTCCCTCTCCTCTGGCAGGCAGGAGCGTCAAGTATTTGAAGCCATTCTTTGCCTCTTATGAAGAGCTATGTGGCCTGCACGTTAGTAATCTCTCTGAGCCTATTTTCCCATCTGCAAAATGTGGACAATGACAGTAACCTACCTGATAATAAACATCGTGGAGAAGGCAAGATAATGCATGTAGTCATGAGGCGCAGCCCAATATGCACCGTTCTAAGCATTTCACCCACATTAACCCATTCCTCACAACAACCATGTGAGACAGCTGCAATGGTCACACACACACACACGCACACACACACACACACACCCCGATGACACATGAAATAAGCACAGAGTCCAAGTAGCTTGCTCAGGAAGTAAAGGCAGGCTTTGGGCCCAGGCAGCCTGACTCGGGTCACACTCTTAACCACTTCACTATTCCAAACACTCGGCAACCAGGCTGCCCAACTGGGACTGAGTTATCTAACCCTAAGCAATTGGGAACACTGTGTCCATGGGGAAAAGAGCCATTTCCAGGGAAGCCCCTTCACCCAGTAACAGCCACCCTAGTGCGCACCAGGATTTCCATTTTTAGCCCTATCCTCTCAAGCACAGTCCATAGAACCTTCAGGGATGATGGAATGTTCTGTATCTGCACTGTCCACGGTGGTAGCCACTAGCCACATGTGGCTACTGAGTGCTTGCAATGTGGTTAGTGTGGTTAATAGTGAGGAACAGAACTATTAATTCTACCTAATGTTAATTAATTTAATCCTGTGTAGCTAATGGCTTTCTTAGTGGACAACACAGCTCTAGATTTAGGGACCTTTAAGAACATTACAGCAAACATTTTTAAGCTCCGACCGTAAACCAGGCTGAGCCACATGTGGCTCCTGAGTGCTTGCAATGTGGTTAGTGTGGTTAATAGTGAGGAACAGAACTATTAATTCTACCTAATGTTAATTAATTTAATCCTGTGTAGCTAATGGCTTTCTTAGTGGACAACACAGCTCTAGATTTAGGGACCTTTAAGAACATTACAGCAAACATTTTTAAGCTCCGACCGTAAACCAGGCTCCAAGCTTATTCCTGTCAGTCAACTGTATAACTACAATTTACTGAACACTTAAGTGCCTTATTTTATAATTGAGGGCACAGGCTCAGAGTGGGAAAGCAACTTGCCCAAACTCACACAGCTAGCAGAGACAGTCTAGATTTGAACCTAGACCTTTCCCAGGTTCAGACTCACATCTGCCCCATCACACCCTGCTGCCTCCCCAGCCAGCAAAGACCGAGGCACTCTCCCTCATACAGCTGAGAGGTAGGCAGGGCAGAAACATACATTTTTCAGATGAAGAAGCAAGGCTCTGAGAGGCTGGGGAGTTGGGCAGAGTCCCAGAGCAAATGGGCACTAACAGAGCACAGCCCTGGCCAGAATCCATGTGTCTGTCCTGTCAGAGGCCAGAGCTCTTTCTCTTGCCCTGGCATTTCCCCGACTTTATCAACTGTGCTCTAAGTAAGAAATATATTTTACCAGGTGACATTTAAAATATTTCACACACACTAAGGCAAAGGCAGCAGGAACCCTCACCCTGCCAGGCATTACCTCCTAGGCTGCCGGATCATGTGACCTTGAAGGGGCAGTCACTCAGGGACTAGAGAGGTGAGTATTTGCCAAGTAGTTAAAGAAGTAGTTAAAAAAAAAAAGGAGTTCAATATTTTAACAACCAGTAAAACCACTGTACCTGAATTGGCTGAATCATAAGCCCGCATTTTACATCCTGACCCACACACAACTGAAACTAACCTATCACAAAGGGATTCTTACCCTTACTATACACAATACATTCCGATATCATCTTTCCTAGTCCATATTTTTAAATAGTCAAGACGCACTGAAGAATTCCATGACCCATGAACAGGAAGCAACTGCAGTCTGAACACTGTCCTGAGCCTCCCGGTCTCTCACCTTAAGTACTGGTCAATGAGGGTCTCGTAGTCAAGCAGCTCTTCCGGTGGGGGCACCGAGGGCATGGAGAACTGGTGCTGCAGGGGGCTGGGCTGGGTCTTCTGGAAGGAGGCCTGGCAGATGAAGATGGGCCTGCCATGCTGCACGGCCTTCACTGAGCGCACTGAGAAGCTCGCCCCTGTTCGCGTCCGCTCTACCTGGTACAAAACTGGCACCTTCGGGTCCCCTGTCGGGGGACAAGGACATGGTGAGGCTGAGTGAGCCCCACAGGCCCTGTCATCATCACCATGGCTGGACAGGCACCTCTGCTACTCGTTCTCCATTCCTTTTCTGCTTGGTCGCTACTGACTGAGGCCTGCTAAGGCCCATGTACTGCAGATACAGAGAGAACACCAGACCCTGTCATAAGGATGCTCCCAGTACAAGTGGAACTCTTCTTTCTCAACAGCGCAGAACAGAAGGGACATTGCCAGATACCCTGCATTCAAATCCTAGCTAATTAGCTGTGTGACCTTACCAAAGACACTTAACCTCTCTCAGCAGTTTACCCATCTATAAAATGAGGATCATCATGGTGTTCATACCTCTCAGGATTTTTATAAGAATGAGATCATAATTGTAAAGCGGTTAGCATAATATCTGGGACACAGAAGGATTGCAATATCAAAAGGCTAGCACTTTGGAGTTTGCAACCAAATTGAAGAAATAGAGGACACTTTTGCTCCCAATTGGCTTAAAGGTAAGAATGCAGGGTAAGTATTCAAATACTTTATAGCAATGACTGTCAGGGAGGGTCCAGCAATAAAAGAATGGGAGTGAGGGGAATGGGGATATAATATGAAAAGATTTTATATATATATATATATACACACACACACACACACACTATATTTTATATTTGTAAAAGGAAGGGGAAAACCTCACTATTGTTTTCTTAATATGAATTACATATTGTTGAGTTCCATACATTCTTCTCAGCTGATGGGACTATGCAGAATGCAGTGTGACTCTTAAAATTGGGGACATCTGCCTTAGGAGTGAGGGAAAGGGAGGGATAGCAAGTGAGATTTTTATTTCTCAAAGGAGGGCCTGGGTTTTAAAAGATTACTTTCTTGCTCCTTTAAGCTGCAAGCAGCAGTTGAGATCATCTGGAGAAAACACACTTGTCCCGCCCTCATCCATTTTTCTGATGAGATGAGCAAACCAAGCCTCAGGGAGGGGAGTAACCTCGCTCAAGGTGGCATGATGGCTAATTAGTCCTGAAACTAGACCCACTGTCTCTGGATTCCCAGGCTGGTGCTCTTCCTTCTCCAAGGCAAGGTGCCTACCTCCAGTCCTAGCAGAGGTTACCGCACTGCTCAGGATTCCAGCATAGTACTTACTAGAGGTTTGTAAACAATGAACAAAAGACCCACGTGGAGTAGTTAAGCCAGTGTTGTGTCTTTTGGGGCCAGATGACAAGCAGTTGTGAGGTCTAAGGCTCTTCTTGGCTCCACCCAGGCCTTGTTCCTCTCCAGGCTTCCCTGTGGGTGGAGATCAACTAACTCCCTCCCCCACTGTCTCCTCCCAGTCCTCTCTCTCCTAAGTCAGCCCCCCAAGGCCAGGAAGAAGTGGCTGCTGGGCCTCCAGGGCTGGGTTGGGGGCAGGGAGGGGTGCTTACCTGCCCGAACGAAATAGCAGTGCAGGGAATGCACTTGAATGTCTTCACTCACAGACTTGGCTGCAGCCACCAGGGCCTGCCCCACGATCTGACCCCCAAACAGCCGCTTGGTTGTGGGTATCCAGTAATGCCTTCCTCTATCGGCAGAAAGAGAAAGCAGGAAAGACTTCAAGGTTGGGCCAAAATCCTGTGACAATCATTGAGCTTCTAGTGCAGATCTCGTAACTTTATTGGAGTTTGGGATCCTTTTGAGAATATGGTAAAAGCCCTGGACCCTTTCCCCAAATATTCTTACATCATTCTACATGCCAGCATACATCTTCAAGGCCTTGGGGATTGCCTAACCCTTCTGTGGACTTTAAGATAAGGAGCCAACCCCCATATTTTAGTAGAGAATAGGGATCAGAGAGGGAAGGTGACTTTAGCAAGGTCACCCAGGTAAACATTGCTAATCCTTAGCAGTAGCTGGGTCTTTTGACCCCCAAGTCTAGTATGTCTTCACTGCCCATACCAGGGTAAGGCAGAAGCCTCTGACGGCCTTGGGACTACGATGAGCCCCAAGAGCTAGGGTGAACATTGCTAATCCTTAGCAGTAGCTGGGTCTTTTGACCCCAAGTCTAGTATGTCTTCACTGCCCATACCAGGGTAAGGCAGAAGCCTCTGACGGCCTTGGGACTACGATGAGCCCCAAGAGCTAGGGTGGGCTGCATCAAGGCCTGCCACTTACACCCCCCAACTTTGACAACCGAAGAACTAGGTTTAGAGCTCAAAGGGCCCTCAGTCTTCAAGTGTAGTCCCTTCAATGTGCAGATGAGAAAACTAGGGACCCAGAGGTGAAAGGGGCTTGCCAAGTGCATGAACCTTATGGAGGCTGAAGGGTTTGGGTCTCTGGCTTTCCAAGGCCTAAACCAGCTAGGCATTTTTATATAGTGCATTGTAAATAGCCCTCCAGGAAGTTATTTGTAATTTCTTTAGTAGGGGGAAGAGAAGTTAACACCCTAAAAAGCTCCCAATAAGCCAATAGGAGCCGTGGAGGCTCAAATTGTAAAATCCCCAGCTGCAGTCAAGAATGTAAGGTGTGTGGGGAAGGAAAATGGCTCAGGCCTCAGGATGAGTACGGAGCTACCACACCTCAAGTGGTGGTGGGGATGGGTTTTGTAAGAGGGAAAGGATAGTGAATATGCAAGGAGCTGAGGGTACGTTTTAAACCTGATTAGCCCTTGGACTAATCGCACCCCTTTTTAGACTGGTTCCCAGAGACATGGGAAGCTGCTGAGAAGGATATCTAAGGTCACCACTTTATTTGCCCAGACGGCCATGTCCTCCTAGGGGTGGCGCTGCGCAGACCCGGCCTGGAGAGGGAGTAAGCCCAGGCAGCGAGGGCAGCTGTCAGGAACAAGTTCTCCCCCAATGGCGACAGAGCCTGCATCCCACGCAGAGCCCATCTTCTTCCAGGAGACTATGAGCAGAAGGCTACGGGGTGGTGCAGTCGAGATCAGGTGCATCTGTCCCAATGCGGGGTGCGGGACAGATGCGGCAGGCTACCTGAAGAGATCTTCATCCAGCGGCTCGAGGTTGAGCACGCTGGTGACCAGGACGCTGCGAAGGTCCCCGGGGGGGTCGCCACCGCCCTGCCCATCCTCCGGGGCCTGCGGGGACGACATGTCAATCACTTGCCGGAGACTGCGCTGAACCCGACGCGCGGAGACGTGTACGGAACTCGCAGATTCCCGCAGATCACTCCAGTAACCGGAAGTCTGCAAGCCCTGAGAATAAGGGATGCAAATTATGATTGGACAATGCTCCTGTCAGTCTGCGGGTGCGTGGCTATCTTTCTCTAGCTATTGGAGAAAATGAGTGCCAGTCTGAGAATTCCGTGTGTGATTGGAGAGGCGGATCCCAGGGCTTGATAAAGAGGGATTAGCGTCATTTCCCCTCAGTCAGATAGCAAGGGCGACCCCAGCCTCTTTTATCGCCTCAGACCTGAGGCTCCAGAGCTTCATAGCTGGCCACCAATTGGGGCCGAGCTCGAAGGCGTTCTGGACCGACGGCAGCCTGTAGACGCTCATAGTGTGACCTCTGACCCCTGGTATTGATCTTAGGGCCATTCCCTGGCGTGGGCTGAGGGGGCAGCCATGGAGCTGGGCAGCTGCTTCAAGACCTACGAGGATTTCAGGAAGTGCTTCAGCCTCTACAAAAAGGAGAACAGTTGCTCCTTCATTCTCAGGGACCGCGTCTCCGTCCGCTGCCACAACCTCAACCACGGCACCTCCATCCGTGAGGACATCCTGTAAGGATGGGGTGGGGGCGGCGCAGGAGGGTGGGGAGGAGGCCCACTGTCACCTGGAGGAGGGAGTGCAACTGGGCCCTTGTTTCTCTGCGCATTCAACAAGCAGTCATTAAGCACCTGCTGGATGCCTGGTGAAAGGAGAGCAAAACCTCCACAGGCATTAGTTTTTGACCATCCCACTTCAGCTTCACTCACTCACCTACATTCACAGCTTTTATGGAATTCATAATAACTGCAATTTGTCCCATTTCCTGAGCACCTGCTGTATCCCAGACACAAAATATGGCCTTCACAGATGGATAAAAATGCCTTGGCGATCATTTCCTTCACCAGTCTCCTCTTTACAAAGCAGTAATGTGGTCGTTTGTCGGTTAGTTCTGTTCGTTCGTTGGTTCATCCATTCATTCGGTTTTGAAGTAGTTCTTGAGCTCCTGAGATGAACAGCCCTTCCGCAAACACTTTCAGTGTCGCATGGCAAGCAGCGTTCTCTGGTCTGTACATTCTTTCCCCCATGTACAGAGAATTATAGATAAATGTTATCTCACATTTAGTAGATGAGAAAACAGGCTTAGAGGGTTGAAAAGTCAAATGCATTCAGGGCTCAGGTGAAACAACGCAGTGGAAGAAAGTTTACTTCTAATTTTACTATAAGAGAAAAGGATGATGAAATTAACAACCAACACCAGGTCTTTGTGCTAGGGACAACAGAAGTGTGAATGGGCTAACGTGGAGAGCAGGGCCTATCTAATCAACTCCAGCTGATGGCTGCCATGTGAAAATAAAGATCCATTATTGCCAGAATTTGGGCAAGACAAGTCAAATCCAGGCTTTAGGTGAATTTTTCCACTTTTTACAAATTGAACATCAGAGTACATCTGAGGCCTCTGTGTTGAGATGTTTGGCCAAAGTTCCCGTCTAGGGAGGCATGTTGTGTCGTTTCCCCTGCTCTGAAGCCCAGTGCTGTGCTGGGTACAGATAACAAAGATGAATAAGGAGCCAGCCTACCCTCAAAGAGCTTAAGGCGGGATAGCCCTGGGCTGTGTGGCTCAATTAGTTGAGCGTTGTCCTGTGCACTGAAAGGCTTGTCTGTTCATTCCTGGACGGTCACATGTCCAGGTTGCAAGTTTGGTGCGTACAGGAGGCAGGGAGGCAGCCAATTGATGTTTCTTGTTCTTGTTAATGTTTCTCTCCCCTTCTCCCTTCCTCTCTAAATCACTAAAAACATATTTGAGGGGAGCTTAAGATGGGATAGAGTTGGACTCTAGTAAACTGACTAGTATGTGATAAATGTTTAAAAGAGATGTACAGTCCAGCTGGAGTGGCTCAGTGGTTGAGCATCGGCCTATGAACCAGGAGGTCACGGTTCGATTCACAGTCAGGGCAGGTGCCTAAGTTGCCGGCTGGATCCCCAGTGTGGGGCGTGCAGGAGGCAGCTGATCAATGATTCTCATCATTGATGTTTCTATTTCTCCCTTCCTCTCTGAAATCAATAAATATATATATTTTTAAAAGACTTAGAAGAGGAAAATAATAAGAGAACCTATAACAAAAATCACCCCCACCTTCAAAATCACCTGGTGTGAACCAGGGAAGTCTGAATTTGGTATGGTTACAGCCAAGAAAAATGGGAATTGGCAGAAAAGAGGGTTCATGTTGGAGCAGGGAGTAGGGTAGGATTTCAAGAAACTAGTATCTATAAGAAAGCACCTAGGACCTAGGTGTTAGGACTGAAGGTCGGGCCCAGCCTGTTTATTGCCAGAGCTCTTAACTGCCCTGCTTAACCAATGGG